GGAAAGAGCAGTTCGGTTGAGTGGAATCTCCCTGCCTAACCTAAATTGTTAGTTTTCAAAGTGTACTAACAATTCTGGTAACTGATTGATTGTGGCGCTTGCACAGAGTCTTACTACTAGTGCTTCAGCTGAGATTGGGAACAGTCAAAATCAGAAATATCTACTAGCTGCTTGTCTCCCTTTAGTTTGTAGTAGTCAGATAAAATGACTATCATGATCAGTATTACTTGGAATCCTTCTTTGACTGTTTCAACAAAGGCCAAACATAGGATAAATTTAGAGATGCCTAGAAGTAGAGAGAGACGATGGGTCTGGTATCTGTTCTGTTCATTGGAATATTGGTATTTATTGTGATCCCTCAATCTGCAAAAAAAACATTGAAAATTGTTCTAATAATTCATTTGATATTTTTAAATGTAGTATTTTTCACTCCTTATCAAACTGGAATGCTGCATATTGAACTAGGAGGAAAGGGGTATGCTTCAGTTAACCAGATTTTAATGGCAGAACTGTAGGCAAACCAGTTCTGTTCATGTGGTGAGCAGGAAAGTAATTGTCTCAAAGATGAATCCAAAGAAAAACTGACATTGCAGTTGACAAATGTGATGGTGGGGGCTAGGGAGAGGGAAGTTGTTTGATACTGAGCGAGAGGTGAAACAAGAATTATTTTTTTAATCTACATAAAGAAGGGAGCCCATCAAACTAAACTGATGATGAAAGTTTACAGTTGGCTGTGGTTGTAGCTAAGAGAGCTGATGAGAGCATCTAGTCATTGTCTCAGAGAAAAAGAAAGAAAGGCAAGAAGAGTTTAAATAGGAAAAAAGCCCACTGTGCTTGCTTGATGTCTGTCCATCCCTGTCCCCCAGTAGCTTCCTGGAGATACAGAGTTTCAAAGGGAATTTGTCTGGTAAGATTTTTAAGAAGTGTCCTATAGAACCACAGTTCCATGAAGACTCAAGAACATGCACACTTTTCTCCCTCCTGCTGAGTATTGAGGTAGCTTAGCACTTGACAGGCTCACTGGGCACATTACAGGTTACCTATCTACATAGCCAATAACTGTCAGCTAGTTTTCAATAAAATTTCTGCATAATGCACTTTTGCATACTCCATCTATTATGTTGTTTTTATATAAATCTTATATCTGTAGTCCTCTTTGACTAAGGTATTAGGGTGATTAACATAGGCTCCCTTTGAACACATTATCAAACCCTGTCCATTTGGTCCTCAGGTAGACCACTTAAGGAGAACATCCCAGGTCTGGTACCAAAAAAAAGAGCCTTTATAATTCCCAGCAAGAAAGGGAGTTTTCACTATTTAATAGAAAACTCTTAAAGTCTTCTGACTGCATATGGGATTTCTGGCTAAGCAGATACAGAGTTAAGGGGCCTCTGTAAAAGAAGGCTATGACAATGTCAAAACCCAGTTTGAAATTTTAAAGAAATCCCTGTGATTGAAACAAAAAAGCATTCTGTGTTTTCAATTAGTTCAGGAGTGTAGGTTGTAGCCGTGTTGGTCTAAGGACATAGGCAGACAAGGTTCCTTGGGTGAATCTGATATCTTTTATTAGACCAACCCAAATAGTTGGAGAATAGTTATTAAGTAAGCTTTCGGGTTCAAAAACCCTTCGTCAGGCTAAGGAAGTTGCAGCAGTTGGTGTGTGCTTTTCCTGGATGGAATGAAAAGGTTCAATTAGTTCAAGCATTTTAAAAATTGTTCCAATGAGTTGCTGCAGAACTAAATACATTAAAGCATAACATAAAGCAAATACCAAACAGAGGGTTCCCCCTATATAGGAAAAATGTTAAATATCCGGTTTGTAGTGAATCTTATTTCTCATTGCAACTGTACACTAAGTTGCCATGCATTTACGCAACTGACCTTCAATTCTGAGATTGCAAAGCAGTGGGAAGCCTACCTGTTAAATAGAAAAAGCAAAATAAAAATATGGTGCCCTCTGGAAGGAACTGGTTACCATTTAAGGCAATGGAAAGAAATGAAAAAGTAATTACGTAAATGGTGCTACATGAAACTGCTTTTCTTATGTGACACTCATTTTTAAAAGGACTTAATTACTGAAATAGAAATTGATGGAAAACAGTGTTGTTACTAATAGTGTAAAAAACATTCCCTTTCAACTGATATTACACTTGGAAGTAGACTTCTAAATTATCACAGAGAGAATGTTCCAAGTCCCTGTTAACAAGCCAGTAGTTTTGGGGAACTGGGGATGTGTTTGTCAAGGCCAAAATGAACTGTTTAGTGTTCTGTGCATCTTGGAAAGTGTGTTCTTCATTGACCATTTAAAGTAGAACTATTAAGAAAATTCCTGCTTAGAATCCATAGACAAACAGATTTAGGTCTGGTCCAGACAATACTGACATTTCAGCATAGAGAACAATTTGTGTTCACAATTGCTGCCTATTATATGATTGTAGATGGGCAGTCAGTCTGACTCCAGGAAGCTGGAGTTTGCAGAGTTTTCTCCCTGCCATATGCAAATCGTTTTTTGTATTCCTATTTCTATGAATGTTGTGCCAGAGGATTTTAGCTAAAATCACTCTCTTTACTGAATGAATGTTTTTCCCCTCCTTTTTTTTTTTAATCCTACAATTTCTGTCACTTCTATCAAATGTGGAACTATCTTTCCCAGGCTTTAGGAAGCTGACTTATTCAGGAAACAAATAGAATGCAAACCATATTTGAGAATGAAAATGTTTTTTCAGACTAGATAGTAGGTCTTGCGATTCCTTTAAATCAGTTCTAGTGTAGTTATGTATAAAGAAAGTTTGAGATCCATTGCTTTTAAATACAATGATTTTGATAACTGAACAATAAAATTAGCATTGGGAGAAGAGGAGCTGTTTTGCAGTTGTCATGTTCAGTAAATAAACATCTTCTCTTAATGTTTAGCTGACTTTCCTCTGAGTAATTGAGGGATGCATTATTAAAAACTCCTTAAGATGCCTTAAGTATTTCAGAAAGAGTACATGTAATCTCCAAGGATCAATATTTTATAAAATCATTTTCCATGTTGGCATACCCAACTGGGTGAATAAAAGGAAATGTATTAATAGCATCATAGAAATTCCAGAAAACAATGCTGTGGAACAACAATTGTGTCAGCACTGGGAAAGATGTATGTTAAGAGAATGAATATGGCTCCTATAAATGGGTCTGATATATTTTTTGGAATTAAATTCTGTTGCTATGTATTGACCAATCCTGAAATACTTACCATGTGACCTGTTGATGCTTGTGAAATTTCACATAGGAGCCTTCAGTCTGAACTTTGCTAGCAAACTTGTCAATCAACATTCTATTAATTTAAATGTTTCCAGCTGCCAGTGGTGCCACCACCATGTTTTGAGTCTTCACGTTTTTATTTTGAAAGATAACAGTTGGCTTGCCAGCACCATAATTTCTGCTGTGTATCAGATTATATTGATGACTAACTAGAAATAGGTATGCCTTGTTTTTTTTCTTTTCTTTTTTCTTTTTCTTCCTCCTTTCCAAGTCACTTGTTTACTGAGGCATTGAAAAGCACAGACATAATTTTCAACTAACTGGAGGAATGTATAACATCTGAGCTACCACACCCAGTCCATTTAGGAGGACAATACTTGTTGTGCCTACACACCCTTGTATAGTTAGTGGGAAGGCTGTGGGCTGAAGTCAGTTTGTAGTGGAAAAATACAAGTTCGGACTATTGCCTCTGTAGGCAGACTGTCTAGGCTAGAGCAGAATTACAAAAGAACTATAGAAAACATACAAAGTAATGGAAAATATAAGCATCCTACAAAGGATAGTTGTATTATTCTTATTATTGTTATTATCGTTTGCATGTTCCTAGGAGTTCCAGTCAAAGATCATGTCCCGATTGTGCACTGCACTGCACAGACATGTAAGTATTCCTGTCTTGTCACTTTGTAGTCTATTATAAAATTCAGACATAAAATAATCTCTCTTATTTTTGAAATTGCTGACTGGCTTCTTAATTGTAGAGTGAGAATGTGACGTAATGTTTTTATGCAAGAAAAATCTCAAAAGGAATTGCTGTATTTTCAGGGCAAATATTCTAAGAAAAAAACATAATTTGTGATCCAAAACTGAGTTTGTAACTGTTCTTCATGTAACTTCATCTTAAAATAAAATGCTAAGTAGCAGCCTTTTTACCACTTTTCTGATTCTGTTATGTGCTTTTATTAAAAATGAACTATTCATTCTGTCTTTGGGGAAGGCAGATGCTGGGAAGAGTTAGCAGAGGACTTCTATCCTGTTTGAAACCCCGTGGATTTTCTGCTTGATCTTCAATAGACTTTTATTCTCAGGGTAGATTCTCTCCCCCCCCAATCCACTTAGCTACCGAGTGTGTCTACATGTAATGCTAAATGCACAGTAGCCTGATACTTCTGCACAGTAGCATGTCGCATCAAAAACAGTGCTAATGTGCTACAGCGCAGTAGCATCACTAAAAAGATGTGTGCTGGCACTAATGCACAGTAGTGCCGGTTACTGCACATTGATTTAGTACTTGATTATACAAGTACTAAACTTAATGCGCAGTAACTACAGCACATTAATGAATGTGCAGAGGCACCACTGAGCAGCTAACCTGTGTAAAAATAATCTCAGTGGCATTATATTTACTTGTCTCCTCTGCCCTGACTTTCTTTTCAGTTTTCTCCCCGTGTTGGTTGTGGTTGATTACACAGAGGCTTTCCAATACATTGAAGATGTAGGATAGACAGAGTTTTTGCTTTACTACTGCTCAGAAAGAATGTGAGGAACTCATTCTGCCGCAGAACAGGGCCTTCCTGAGCAGTGTCAGTTCCCAACCACAACTGGTTGGGGAATTAATAGACAAATATAGTTAAGCTGTGTTAGTCTGAAATCAAGTAGATTTGCACCGTATAGCCTAACCAAAATAGATAAAAATAGCACAAGCTTTCATGAGCTAAAGCTTGCTTCATCAGATGCTGGGGAATTAATATTCAAGTTTAGGTGGTCAGCTCCTCAGGTGCACTGGAACAGCATTTATAATGTTTTCCCCTCTCTTTCTCATCCTGAAGCCATCCACTGATCAAACCACTGGGGGTGCATCCAGATTAGTGCACACATGCAGTTTGCAATGCACATGCAACTGTTCACAGTGAGGCACCAAAATTTGATACTGGGAACTCCCAGTATCAAAAAACACCACCACAAAAAAAGCTGGCAGAAACAAGAGGGTCCTTTAGGGAGACACTCTGGCTGCGTACCAGAGCATCTCTCCTCCTCTAGTTGTCCCCTGGCTCTTCCAGCATGCTGAGCCAGAAGGAGCGCGGAATCAGTTGTTTCCTAGAAGCGGGGCATTGTGCCCTGCACCAAACCCCAAGTGCAGGGATGTGAATGGCAGCAAAGAGCAGCGGCACAAAATTGTGCCGCTGGCAAACATACATCCCTACTTGCGTGTGCTTGTTTAGGCCTGGGACAGTATGCTCAGGGCTGCCTTGTGCTGAGATGGTAGGAAGAACTAAGAAGCTATTCCATGAGCCCAAGATCAGTGGGGAACATTCTGCATCAGCCACATCAGTAGGCAACCCAGAAGAAAGTATTAGGGTTTGAAGTCTCTACTCAGCTTTGTAATGTATACCTGTGACAGCCTTCATACACACATTTAGGTGCAGTTATTTTCACCACCATAAAGTAGCACTGTCCCTGACTGTACTATTTTAAGGGTGGTGAAAATTAGTTTGAAGTCTTTGCATGTGTAGATTGTGATGCTTTACACTGCAGGAAATTAGTCTACTGTGCAATTAAGCGCATGTGTAGCTGCACCCAGTGTTGGCAGTACTGAGCCCTTAAAAACATTTATATTGACTTCAAAATAAAGCCTATTCAAACAAACAAACAAACAAAGTTCTTAACTTCTTTTCCCACCTCCTACTCACCCCGCTCTCCCTGCCAAGTATTTAGGAGTTCTGTTTTAAGGCTTTTCTCCCCCCACAATATTGCATGTCTTCAGGAGATGAGACTTTAGGGAAAACAAGCGTTGTAAGATTTACAAGGAAATGTCCTGGGTCTGCACCAGTGTAGCCTTTACTTAGGATTTCTCCCCCCCAAAATGACTGGTTTCAATTCCCCTCTCTTCCTCTAACTTAAAATCTGTGTGCTCAGAGTATGTTTTGGTCAACTTGTATTATGCCATATTGTTGATCCATAATGCCTACTACCACTATTAGATTTTCATACCATAGACTGTTAACAGGAACTACTATAGTGTGAGTTAATAGCAGTTTGGTTACATTTCAATGGTCTGTTGGCCTTGTTTGAACTCCTTTATGCTAAATGTCAGTAGCAATTTGTGTGTGTGTTCTTTTTTTGTAAATTATGACCTTTAGAAAGGGAGAGATGAAATTGAATCACAAAACCATATATTTAAATGGTCTTATGGAGGACCCCCAGAGCCAAGAAATTATGAATTCAAGTGGAAACTCATTCTTTACTTTTCCTGTCCCCCTCTCCAAGGCTCTCCACAGTGTATGTGCAGCTGTCCATAAAACAGCAAAAACAAAAGAAGGGCAGAGTTTCCGTTTCAATTCTGTTTATTTTTCCTTTATCTGGTCAGACACAAATATTAGGAACCACTTTCAAACTCGAATGCAGCCAATATGTCTCTAAAAACTTTCATTTGCATACACTAACGTCATAGTCTTATATGATCTCATCACCAGTGCATGCTGTTGCCCAAATACATATGGCCAGTACTGGATATTTGTCTCATGTGAAGTTTACTGCAGGATCAAGGCCTAACTAAACAACCTGCAAGTTACTGAGTACCATTGGCTTGCAGAGAAGTCGCAGAGAATTGAAGACATTCAGCACTTAGCGGAGAAATGACCATAAATGGACTGTCCAATTAAACCATTAACATGTATCAGTGCAAGTTTTTGCTCAGGCAGTATGTGCGCGTTTGCTTGGGGTTGTGGCCACTGAACTTGCTTTTGCAGATTAGGCCTTCTAAATTTATTTTTTGTCATTTAAGTTTACTTATGAGTTGGGTGCTAAATGTCAGGATGACAATGGGCTATATCTGTTCATGGAAGGTGGTGGTAGTGATCTGTCTGCTGCTTGAGTGAGAACTCTTGCTTTATCCATGATTCATAATTTTGCTCAGTGATATAAAGCTCTAGAAATGGTGAAATGTACTGCTTTTTACAGTCCAAAATATTGTAGTCCATGCAATAAATAGCTACCTGTTCCATTTTAATATTAATTCAAAAGCAAATTGATCTACATCTGATTTACGTGCTTCTTTTACTGTCTAACTGACTCTAGATTGACTTAAGCCTCATGCAGACTACAGACTTCCGTAAAGTATTGTATGTTAGATGGTAGAATTTGGCCAACTGCATTAATTACTAGAGAGAACACATGCAATTTTGTGATCACTTTGCTTATTGTATTCATTTATTGTGCCCACGGGGCTGTGTCTGGGCACTGGCAAAACAAATAATTTTATTCTATCAAAAAAGTAATAATTTCTCTGTCTCCCTTCTATTTATATAGACAGTTGGTTGCATAGAGCAGGATGGTATTGAAAGTGAACTGTAATTACTGTATTTTGCTTGAATCTAAGACAAGGGTTTTTTTCACTTTTAACATGAGGTTGAGGGGGAACCTTGTCTTGGGTTTCAGTACCAGGGCTGGGGCTGCCGCTGCTGCTGCTGCCTGGCCAGGGCCAGGGTGGCTCAAGGTGGCTTGTGTGCCAGGGGAGGGAGCATGCTTTGGGTGAGCATGGAAGTGATTGTGTGGTACACAGGGGAACATGGGGGGGAGACCTAGCAGAGTGGAAAGCGCAGGGGAGACAAAGAGAGAAGCATGTGGGAGACTGCAGGGTGGGCATGGAGCACAGGGGAGACCGTACTGAGGGGGAGCACACTTACTGCCCTTAACTGCTTACGTCATTTCATCTATCACATAATTTGGCAATATTGGAAGTATCCATTCAGAAGAGGCTGGTGTTGTATGGCAGGACACTAGTGTGTCTGGCGATCATGCTCCTTTTTCATAGCTTTAAAAGACCTTTTCAATCCCTTGCTTTCATAAAAAACAGTACAATCTAGGGCAGACCTAGTAGGAGAAACAAAAGATAAAGAGCAAGTCATTCCGTTAACCACACTCCAAAGAAGAAGAATTCTCGTGCCTGGCTAACAAATACAAGATCAAACATCTGTGTACCAGATATACATGGCTTTGTATATACAGATTGGCTGTCTGCAAAGGATGCTATTTTCTTTATTTAAAGCAGATTTAGAAGAGGCGCTATTAGCGAGAGAGTCAGTATTCCACTTTGGACAAAACAGTTTTCTTTTTCTCTCCCTTCCTTTCCCCTCCCCCTCTTTTAGTGGGTTTCTTTCTACTCATTCACTAGGGCAGTGGTTCTGAACTCTGTAATTTATGCCTTAGATGTCATTTAATTAGCTAACCAGGACACCCCTCATCACAGTGAAGTAGTTGTTCAGATTGTCACGCAAAGGCTTTTCTGGATTTTACAATCTTTATAGTAAACAGTGCCCTGTCTGCAGGTCCTTCAGGAGCAGCTGTTCCTGTCTCAGTTCCTTGACAGCTGCTGAGTCTCGCCAAAGTTACCAGTGCCCTCTCTCTGGCCCTTCCTTGCTAAGAGAATGTCCCTTCTGTCCAAGTGAGTAGTGGCTGTTCCCCACACATCTATAACAAGTGTGGGTAGAGGTTGGGGGCAGAACAGAAAAATTAACTTCAGAATTTTTTTTCAGAGCTCAAAGTCCATAACTCTCATTTTCTCAATGTATTGCTATCTACATTATCTATCTGAAAATCTACAGGTAATAAAATGACTCCTTGGCACACAGTTACCATGCAGCTGTCCCTTTACAATCCTGC